AACTGGATGCTTTAAATCGTCCCCACAGACGGCGCCAATTGTTGATGTGTGGATTTCGGTCCTCCGGTTCTCCTCCTCGCACCCACCAAACTTGTTGATCCAGGACTAGTACCTGCAAAACCAAATCGAGCTAAACCGGTGTGACTCTAGTCACACGGGCTCCGACGCTTAAGTTAGTAAGAGAACAAGGTAAATGTAGTCACTTCTTCGCCTCCCCCTACCTCTAAGGTCGGATCGCTACTTATAGCGTGGAGTTGTTCCAGAACTTTCCATAGCTAACCCTAATTCACCGTTGCAGGGCCTGGGTGGAATCGTCGATCGAAGATGGGGGATCGTTGGCTGGGCCGTGGGCCGAGCCCCGGGTCTGGACCGAGGCCCGGGTCGGGACCGAGCACCGGGTCGGGGCCGAGCACCGGGTCGGGACCGAGCCCCGGGTCGGGATCGAGCCCTCTCGGCCCGGTTAGTTCTCCGTCAGTCGCTTTCCTCGCTCTTTGCCCCGGCAATAGGTCGTTCTTTGGGCTGGTCCGTTACGTCACGGGCCGGTCTCCCCCAATCAATGATCTCAGACTTCAACTCCTTGTCCCGTTTCGGGTCGTTTTTGTTCTCCATAACAATAATTAAGGAAATAATACACGTTTAAGAGATATGTCAAATATTTTGACCATGATTAAGATTATGTTTTGGAGTGGCAATAGAATTAGTGATATTGAAAAAAAATGATTTAAGTATAATGGATTTTTCAAAATCACTGTCCAAATACTTAAAAAATAATTTTAAGCTTTCCTAAACACACTCTCCAATTACTTCAAAATCACTATCCAAATACTTAAAAAATGAGTGGCTAGGAAGTGATTTTGGTAATGTAAAATCACTCCCAAAACACACCATACCATATTTTATTTATATTAAATCTTCATATATTTCATTATTCTAAAATGTAAAAATATTAAAATATTTTCTTTTCATTTTATACTTGTGGTAGGAGTCTTCCTACAAGTTAATCGTATTTTGATTTCTATATATGTGATGTACTGTTATTTTATAGATAATTTGTAAAAAATTTTTTTATTCCTTTTCATCACAACATGCAAAAAATATGACCGTATTATGTCAGCTTTATTTATCACAAATTTTAAGAGTAAAAAGTATTTTTTTTAATGTGCAAAGCTTTATAATTAAAAAGACAATATTTCATTTACAAAAGCATTATTTATAATTTTATTAAAAAAATAATTATTTATAATTTGCCATACTCTTTTTAACGTAATCTAACCAATGGGTCAACGTCAGTCGGAACTTTTACTTTGTACGGAATGTTCTAGATGCGCTATTTTGGTATATACAAATTTATTATTATTATTATTTTATTGAGAAAAAGGAATTATATCTACGGGCGAGGATTTTTGGGGGAGCGTGGTGACTACTGAGTCAGTGACTGGTGATCGTCTAAGGAAAAAGGAAAAACAAAAAAGACTACTGACTGGTGACGTGGCGCCAGTTGTAGAGGTCACATCATCCACGTGATTGCAAAGAAGAAATTCCCGATTTTATATTTTTAGTAAAAAATTGGAAAATAATAAAATTTTACCTATCAATTTTTAGTGTTACCAAATTAGACTTTAGAATTAGAAAAATATCCCAACTTTTACGCTTTTCTAACACAAAAAATGAGATTAAAAATCTCAGAAACCCACTGATTTTAATAATATACTTTTATTTGTGCATACAAATTCGACCATGTAATAATTATAGAAGACTCACCAATTTAAACAAAAAGCCAGCTCTATTGTCATTATGATCCGAAACTTTATCAATTTTGTATTTGATATATATTTTATGATTCATGGGATGCGTGTGAGTATACTTTTTTCTTTCTTTCTTTTTTCTTTTCACCGATTCTTCGAACAAAAGCTTATGTTAAATTAAAAATTATATAATTTCTTTAAGTGTGAAGTAAATATTACAACAATTTAAAATTTTAGGTGTAATTTAATAAAATTAAAAATTTATGATAAAAATGGATATACCTCGTCAAGTTCGGGATAAATTGAGTTTTTTTCCTAGCAAAAATATGATTTGATTTGATTAGACAAAGTTTCAACCAATCACTTAATTTAAGAATTATTATTCATTGAAATGGTAATTTTTGTAAGGTTAATTACTTGTCACCCGATTAAGAAATATAATTAAGCCAAGAAAAACGATCCACTCAAGGAAAAGAAAGAGAGCTGCTATTCACTTGAAAAATTGGGCTGGTTTTAAATAAGGAGTACAAGCTAGTCTTCTCATTTTTCTTTATAAGAATTACTAATTCTTAAGGTAGTTAACGATCCTGGAATTTGAATTCATCCCCTCTTAATTAATTCTACTCTATTTGGAACAATTCAAAACAACTTTAACTAACTCAGTTAAGTTAAGTTAGTTCTAAGATCAAGTATGTTTGAATTCAATTGGTGATAGATTTAACTTCTGAAAGAATAAAAGTAATTTAATAGGTATCTTATTCACTAACTACCAACCATGCATTCAAATTGTTAGATGTTAAAAGCAAAGATGAAAGACAAACAATTAATTAATATTATTATTATTATTATTTATAAAAAAGGCACAATTTAACCTTTTTATTTCTTATATTATATCATACAACACCAATTTCCAAAGCCAAACCCCAGCTTCAAAAGTTATTACAAAAGCCACTAAGCCAAATCCTAGTATTACAATTGCTGCCCCAAACCAAACAAACTCCTCACTCCAAAAGAGCACTTTTATTACCTTCCCACATCCAAGATCAGAAATACCAAAAAAGCACATAATAACTTGAAAATTAATATACCTCCTCAGCTGCACACCAGTGAGTAGAAGTTGTTACTAAACTTTCTAACATGGCATATAAATATGCAATTGAAACACAGACAAGTCAATAGTAATATTCTCATGCCATTATTCAGCTGCGTGTCTGTGCTTTGCAGGCATCTCAATGTCATACTTAGAGTTATCAAGCTTCTCCCCCTGCCCCCAGATGGCGTAAGCCTCTTCGCCGTGTGCGGCCTCGTCGCCGATGGCCATGTCCTCCTCCGTCATCCGTAGCGGCACGATGTACTGGAGAGCCACACAGATGATGGTGGTGACGATGACATTGATCAACGTCACAAATATGATGCCGAGGAGTTGGACGCCGAGTTGGCGGAAGCCGAGCCCCACTTGGGCCGTGCTGAATCCGTAGAACAGGCCCACGTATTTGTTGTACGCGCCGTAGTAGATGGAGTTCAGGCGCGGCTCGGCGAAGATGCCGCTGAGGATGCCGCCAAGGCTGCCCGCGATGGCGTGGGTGTGGAACACGGCCATTGTGTCGTCCACCTTTTGGAGGACCGGGGATTTCTTGTGGACCACCATCATGGTGAACCACGGGATGGACCCTGATAGCATTCCCATGATTATGGCGGCCCATCCTTGAACCAGGCCGGCGGCCGGGGTGATGCATACCAGGCCGGTGATCATGCCTTGGACAGCGCCGATCACCGAGGGTTTACGGAAGAACACGATGTCGAAGATCAGCCATGTCAGCAGGCTGGTCGCGGTGCAGACGTGGGTGTTGAGTACCGCGAGGGAGGCGTCGATGTTGGCCGCATAAGGGTCTCCGCCGTTGAACCCGGTCCACCCCATCCATAGTAACCCGGCTCCCGCCAGCATTAGAAGGATGTTGTTCGGTGGGAAGCTCTCCCGATCTTTCGAGAGTCGTGGGCCAACCTAATACACATTCAATGATAGTCCGTATAGGGAGATGGTAAGAACTTTTAAGTATTTTCAAGATTATTTTAAATTTTTTTCTTTTTTAAAAACAAGTTTATTTTTCTTTAACGATAGTTTTTTATGCCAAACTTAAATATTTATTGATAAGTAGATATTTCTTATTTATCACTATTAAAAAAATTGATATCAAAGATATGCATGCATGAAAGAAATGGAGAGAAAATAAAAAAATCTCGTCAAATTTTTAATAAAATAAACAATTGTCCCTTTTTGAATAAAATAAACATTTGTCAATAATTTTATAACAATTGTGAGTTAGAAGATACGCACCTCTAAGTTTTATTATTGTGTCCTATTATTTTTAGCATGGCAAAGTTTTCGTCTCTTTTGATGTTTCTCATTATGTGTTAGTTTTTATGTTTTGAGAAATATATGTATATAGGTTTCTGTTTTCTAAAACAAATTCTCAAAATTTTACGTTTTTTTTTTCTTGTCTCCTACTTATGTTATAGTTAATAAAAAGTGTTTTAATTTTACAAGAAAATAAAAAACAATATTTACTATAGGATGTATCAGTTTTTACTATACACTCCTAATTTCATCATTCTAGATCATAGATTTAGACATGTGACTCAACAATTTTTACCTTTTATCTAAATTATTTCGTTTGCCCATCAATTTTAATAAAAAAAATCAATGTCTAAATCTTTTTAAAAACACTCACTTCAATCAAAATCACTCTTTTGCAAAATTAAGCTCGATCACTAATATACAAAATAAACCATTAAACAAATCTCTCAAATTATAAAATTTGAACTAAAGTAAATCTATTGTCATATTTGTCTTCGAAGCCTTGTCAATTTTACACTAGGCTTATATTTTATAATTCATTTGAAAAAAAAAAAACAGCACGGGAGTTGACCATAAAGGATATCAATAAACAAAGATATTAAACAACAATACCAAATCTTATCTTCACCCCCTTAAAAATTGATAAATAGTGGTAAGAACAATTACTATGGTAAGGATCAAATCTTATCTTCACGTCCGTATTTGAATATATTTTTTTTAAAAATAAAGTAGCTATCAAATTTGGAAGAGTGGACGAAGAGTCAAAGGGCGTACCCAGTAAGCGGCAGTGAAGCCGGCAACTCCAGAGGACAAATGAATGACATAGCCACCGGAATAATCAATGAGCCCCATCTTATAGAAGAACCCATTAGGGCTCCAAATACTGAACGCCACAAAGGTATAGGAGAAGGTGAGCCAGAGCGGCACGAAGAGCATCCAGGCATAGAAATTCATCCGGCCCAGGAGAGCCCCCGCGATGAGGACCAGAGTGATCGCGGCGAACACGAACTGGAAGAACACCATGGTCGCGGAGGGGAACTTGCCGCTGAAGGCCGGGTCCAGCAGAAACTTCTGGTCCAGCGCCACGTTGAGCTTCCCCCAAAACGGCACCAGCTTGTCCCCAAACGACAGCCGGTACCCCCACCCGACCCAGCACACCAGCACGCACGCGAACGCGTACAGCGCCATGAACGCCGAGTTGATCGCCCACTTCTTCTTCACCGCCCCGCCGTACAGGATTATCAGCCCCGGCACGCTCTGCAGCCCCACCAGCGTCGCCGCCGTCATCTGCCACGCGTTGTCGCCCTTGCTCATCCATCCCGGGTCCGCTGCGTCTTCCAATAGATTCGCTGGTAGAGGAACTATGATCGAATAGTTACTCATTCTTTCTTTCTTTCCTTTTTATGAAAAATGTAATCTTCTCCGAGGGGGATCTCGGTGCTTATAACTGCGGACTTCGGACTTGGATTGTCACGATAAGCTGTGAGAATATTGGTTTTTTTTCCTCCTAAATTCTGATTATTTGTTTTTTGTTTCGTTTTTTTTCTTATAACTTCCCTTTTCTTTTTATATATTAAAAAGCAAGTAGTCTTTGTGTGTATATATATTTTTTGCTTTAGTTTATTTTGTTCGGCGTAGTCCCAAATTTTGTTCATTTTTAGTATCTATTTGTAAAATTTTACTCGGAATGAAAACTCTTCAATGTAAATTTAGGACTACATTTGAAGAATTTTGTTGGATGAATTGTTATGCTAAATTTTTATTGGAATAATAAAATGAAAATAAAAATGAAGAAATCTAAATGGTTAAAGTACACGAGAGAACCTGAACTAAAATGAACAAACTTGAATGTATATATGAATAAGATGAACATTTTAAAAATACATGAATTAAAATTAATAAAAATAAAAAATATAGGAATCAAAAGAGTATTTAGACCTAAAAAGCAATTAATATTTTTAAGTTATTTTCAATTTAACTTTTAATCTTTTCAACATTGTTTAAGAATAATATACGCAATCCAATAACATCAAAAAATTATTTCCAGAGATTATTGTAGATATTATGAGAGTAATAGAAAAGTTAGGACGAGTTGAGAATTTTAATACATTAATGGAAGAATTAAGGATTTTAGAAAATTTAAGAATTATTTTGTATATTTACTTTTTAAAAGAAATATATTTTATTATTAATTTATTTTGGGGTTTGGATTTTGGAGGGTTGGCTGAGACAATTTGGCGTACGATCCAATTATATGCAGCGATATTGTCAAAGATTCAGATGAAAGGGAAGCAAATTTATTGGCCATTGATGAGCCGCAAAAGAATATATGGATAAACAGAATGGAACCAAAAACTTTGTGAATTCCGAAGCCTCAGATTCTCATTGCTAAGAAAACACAGAAAAAAAGTTTCCAGCTCTCAGCTATGTCTTGTAATTGGCTAAATAAAATAACTGGTTTTTGTTTGTTTCTATGCATTTAATTAATAATTTAGATTATTGTATTTAGTTTAACTCCCTAAAATACTGTAGTTGGTATATATTGAAGTCGGAGGTTTAATAAATAATTTTTTAAATATAATATGTTTGGCAGTAAATTAAAAATATATTTTTTAAAAAATTGATGCTATTATAGTTTAATAGTTTAGTTATTAAACTAGGAGGTACACCAAAATCATCCTCAATCTAAAAAATAATAATTTTTAATTTTAAACTGTAATACTGCTTATTGGTCTAATATGTTCCAAATCTAAGAAACGAAGCATATAAGAATATGAGTGCAAAGGAAAGTTCTCATTTTCTCGCATTTTCCAGACAGCCAAACAGAATATATGCTGGGCATTCATGGAATTTTAAGAATTCAATAGCTCCACTCAAATTAGTATCTTTGAAATTATTATTTTTTTTTAAATTATACAAAATTATGAATGACAACTGTCTATCAATTTAATTGGCCATCCAAAGTAGTGGAGAAAACCATTCCATTTACAAATTTTTATTTTTATTATTTTTTTTCAACTTTGAATTGGCCATTCAAAGGGCATACCTAACTTACAAAAACTGAAAGCATGAGGAGAAATTTGAATTGTACATACAAGTTTCACTTTCCATTTACATTATAATGAGATGATGAAAACAGCAAGGAAAAAGAATTGAAGAACTTTCCTTTCTGTGTGAATGTATGAGAGGCAGAATTGGGTACAAAAACAGGGAAGAAAACCATTGAAAGTGCAGTATGTACAACAAATTGATATCTAAAATGCTGCTACCTCTGATGATTTCCATCTTCTTTGGTTAGGTGAATGTGAATTTCAAACTGTTAGAGTTCTTCAGCTTCAACAGAAACAGAGAGTTGGAAGATCTAACCTAACACATCATGAGTAGCGCTTCACGGGGGCGGCCGAGCAGGCTTAATGCCGTTGCAGCTATGTGATTTCCAGTCAACCCGGCAAGGGAGAGCTGCTCTTGTGGTGATGCCTGCTCTATGTAATTGTCCGGTAGAGCTATCGGCCGCCACTGCAGAGGAAACAAACAGTTTCAGAAAATGTGGCAAAAGACATCTAAACCAGAACTAGTCGCATACGATTGAAGATCAAAGTTCTTGATCTTGGGCTCGGATTATCGAATTCGTTTTGTTTTTGTAGTAGGTAATAGATTTAGAAGTTTTGTTCCATGGTGCTTTAAGATGTTAAACACATTTGGGTCTTGTTTAACTTTGCTCTTCCTATTTCAATTTGATTTTTGGAACGAATAAAAGCGCTATGCTTCACACAAGCAAATGAAAAATGCTTAAAAATGCACCTTGATTCTTCCATCCAGCCGTCCATCGAGAGCAATGAATTGTGCGACATGAGATCCGAAGCCTCCAATTGAACCTTCCTCAACTGTGATTAGAAATGCATGGTTTTCACAAAGTTGGCGAAGAAGCGCTATGTCGAGTGGCTTGCAGAACCTTGCATCGGCAACTGTAACCTCGACACCGAACCTTGAGAGAAGGGCCCGAGCATTGAGGCAGTTTTGAACCATTGCCCCATACCCAAGCAAAGCAACATCCTTACCCTCAGCAAGAACCCTCCCTTTTCCAATCTGCATCGTGTTACAAACAATATCAAATTTTGGACAGAAGGATATGTTTCGATTTCTATTCTCAAGTAATAAGAAAATCGAGACTTCGGAAAAGTATGCCTGCATCCACTATTTTAATCTTCATACATTTTTAATCCCATCACACGTTAACAAGGGAAAAAGAGTGCAAAGTGATTACTTCAATGGGAACCCCTTCAAGGATAAGGTTGTCAGTGGTGACAATGGAGCCTCTTGGATACCGAAAGCATACTGGTTGATCATCAATGTGTGCCGCGGTGGCCACCATGTGCACTAGCTCATTCTCATCTGCGGGAGCCATTACAATCATGTTCGGCAAGCATGACATGTATGTTATATCGAATGCACCACATTGTATGGGACCATCAGATCCTACCAACCCGGCACTGGTAATTACAAAACGTACGGGAATTCTCTGCCGATCAACATCATGTATCACCTAAAATACCATAACCAAAAATTGTCATTGTTAGGCACCTGAACACTCAAGGGGTAACTGTATATTCAAGTGCGTGAAGGAGCTTATGAGCGGGGGAAAGTGAAAGAGAGAGACCTGATCATACGCCCTCTGTAGAAAAGCAGAAGGAATTACACAAAATGGCTTCAATCCACCACACGATAAGCCTGCGGCAAATGTAACTGCATGTTGCTCAGCCATACCCACATCAAAAAACTTATCGGGAAATCTTTCCCGAAACAGTTGAATCGATGGCTCCATCTGCATCCCAGCATGCACTGTCACAATGTTTTTGTCCTTCTCTGCCTCCACAATCAAAGCCTCCACAAAGCAATCACTATACGTTCGAGAATCAGTTCCTAGCAGCAATGAATCTATGTTACATAAACCTGGAGTTGCGAGAAGAAACAGAATGAATAAACAGAATCCAACTTGCTTTATCTAAAGTAAATATTCCAGTCACCAAATAGATCAGTTGGAAATAGTTCAGAATAAAGGTTGCTCAAAGGTCTGATCTCAATTAGCATGAACATTTCTATCTAGCCAAGAACATGAAATCCAGTGATGGGGTAGGAAATGGTAGATGTACAAATTCTGCATCAATTAGCATGAGAAGCTTGCACTGAAAGGGCTTTTTCTAAATGATCTAAAAGCAACAAACAATCTTGAGGTTCAGGGGTGAACAAATAAACGTCCCATCACCGGGTAAATACTAGAGGAAAAAGTTGAGTTAGGGAAAGGATACCTCCCAGTGGCTTGCCCACACCCCTCTGACGCCCTTCTACATAGTTTTCTTCAGTTATGACATGTACCAAAACTGGACCCATTGAATCAAGTGATGCGACTTCTTGTAAAACACAAATGAGGTCCTCCATATTGTGGCCATCAACAGGGCCTATATAATACAGTCCAAGCTCTTCAAAAAGGGTAGATCCCGTTGGACCCATCATGCCACGAGCATATTGGTCCACCTTGGCAGCCAATTCATGCATTCCTTTACCAATTTTTTTAGTTACACCCTAATCACAGAAGAGAGTATGAAGATAAGCACTTTTCAGAAAAATAAAACAATAAGAACAAGACCAACTTCTCATCCACATTGTGGTAAAGAACATCCTCAAGTGGCAGGTCACCTAAAAAGAAAACCAAAGATCTACCTTAGCAGCTTCACGAAACTTTCGAAAGGATTTGCTGGACTGAAGCCTGCTGAGAGTGCTAGACAAAGCATTGACAGATGTCTTAGAGCCATCATCAAGTTTTGGGTGTAAAGAATGCCGACTGTCATTTAAGATCACTATCATATTTGAGTCCAAATATCCCACATTACTCATTGCTTCATATATTTGCCCCGCCATAGTTGACCCATTGTTAATTACTGTAACTATTCTTTCACGCTTACCTTTTATATCCCGAGCGACTGCCATGCCTAAGATTAAACGAGATCATATTAAATCTATTTTACAATTTCCCAGTATGACTCTAGGAATAGAAGACAGAATATTTTAAAGCGAATAAACCCAAAGAAGAGTTGCTTTCTTTCATATGCAGAAGCCTGGGCGGCTGGACGAATTATCAGAAGTGTCTTCTTATGGTAAAGGGTTACATAATATAATATGTTAGTAAAAGCAGAACTTATGAGCATTTTTTCAATGAAAGTCATTTGTATGTAAATAAGAACAATAGAAAAGGGGTATTTATAACACCCCCAAAATATGGATTGGCAATCAACTGTACCAAGTCCAGCAGATACACTGTTGCAGCCATGTGCAGCACCAAACGGATCAAATTCACTTTCGGACCGAGATGTTGACCCAGAAAGACCATTCTTTTTACGCAATGTACCCATGAGAGGTCGTCTTCCAGTAAGAATCTTGTGCGCATAGGTCTGCCAAGAAACAAAATAGATCAATAATTTCAATTCACATTCTAGACACACTCTCTCTCTAGCAGATGATGATCACATGCCTAAGAATCACTGATCGGTGTCACAGTAGGTCCACATTCTGCTTCTTGACAATTTAAGTTTCAAAGCAAAGTATAATAACAATGATAATAGGAAAGGTAGTCCTACCTCTTCTCCTGCATCCCACAATATCTTATCAACCGGAGCATGGAAAACATGGTGTAAGGCAACAGTCAGCTCCACCACTGCCAAACTGGCTTTATAAGATTTTTGCACGTTCGATAGAAAGGAAGACAACTCCGAACGAATTTCTTCGGCTAATTGTTTCAGTTCCTGCAATAATTGTTGTTTACTGAGTTTAGAAGTCATATTTTCTATGGCACCCACAAGGACAAATATGCGTGAAATCATAAACTAACCTTAGGAGATAAATTCTTCAAATGGATAGGATTTTCAATCACATCAAGTATGGGCGTTGGAACTTTATCCCAGAAGATATTATCAATGTCAGGTAAACAATGGATCTTATGAACTGGTAACTGCATCAAGAAGATTACGTTACAATCAAATTCTAGAATTTTGATCTACCAAACCTCGTGAAATGCATTTTGGATATCCAACACATTACAGGACACAATTAATTTTCATCACCATATAGAAGTGAAGGAAAAGATAAATGGTTTGGACATTGGAATAATTTGTTAATAGTACTGAAACAATTGGGAATTATCGCAGAGCTGATTATCATTTCACACGCACACAAATCGAACGATTGAGCATAAATTTCATCAAAAAGAAAATGTTTCACTACCTTAGCAGAACTACTGGAAACAGAGCTGGAGTGCGGATTGGCTCTCGAAAATTCAGCTTGGAGAGGGAATTTAGAGCGCGAAAATTCCAATTTGTGAGGCAAGACCGCAGAGTTTCCATGCGAATGGACAGCGATTCCAAATGGGTAACCAGTTGAAGCTGTCCCCATGAATGAAACAGCAGCACAACTGTGAAGGATCGTAAAATATGCTCCCCCAGTACAAGGAATTAAACAAAAGCTCAAGGCTCAAGCGGGAAGAACAACAAACCAATAACCCAATATCGACACTGTTCAAAATGGAGGATCCGAGGATTCCCCAATTGAAAATTCAGATACAGATAAACTTTGAAATGGGATGAGAGTTGAAATCACAAGGAAATTAGCAGAAGATGAGTAAAGGAGGAAAGGGCAGGATCCGTACCTGATATTATCGACAACAGTGGAATTGGATGTGACTTCATGGAAGAATCATAGAATAACTGGTGGTGTAGAACGCTTTCTCTGTGCTCTCAACCATGGCAGGCCTGCAGCCCAAAACATTACCATGGACTGCCGTTGGCCTCTTCTACAATATCCATAAATTTCTGTACATTTTTCCAAATAATGGCCCTATACACTGAATTCTGTTAGTTTATAAAACATTCTTTGTTTGTCACTTACCATTTATTTTCTTTCTTAAAAACAAGATGATAAATGAGATGGTGAAGGTTGAAACTTTTACTACAAAAGGATTAATCATATGTTTACCACTTACATTTTCCTACTTCTAGTAGGGTTGAAGATACATGTCTTTAACTAATTATCCAAATTCAGATCGGTATTAATTAGATTGTGTTAAAGTTTATATTAATCTATTAGTATTTGGAATTTAAAAAAATTTAAATTACATTCCTCTTTAATAATTAATTGAGGTAACTAAAGTGGATAGAATGCTCACATAATAATCATTTAAATAATTTATAAATATTTTATAGTGGATTAGGTTTGGTCTAAAAAGTAGTTCAATCCAATTGTATATAAAATATCTTCATTAAGTATTTACCTTGTAAATTGATTGAAAGATCAAAATAACTAATCAATACTTTGGCCTAATCATCTTTCATGTACAAATAATTTTAAGATATATATATATATATTTTGAAATTTAAATATGTCTGAATGGATAAGGTATTAATTACCTTTTAAAGCACCGTGAATCCTATCATTATTAAACTCAATTTTTAGGATAACTCCTAAATGGGTGAGTGTATTTATTTAGATATATGTTTTGAATCATTCTTATTTTGAAAGTAGAAACTTAATCTGATAAATTAATGGTGTAGAACATATCTCATCTTGAGTCAGCAAAGGAGAGGGGTTTCAATTAAAATATGATTATATTTGTGGAGGATAACATCTGTTCTTTCTATGTCCACGTGGCTTCATGAAATGCACCTTCTTTTTAAAGGAAAAAAAAACAACAAATATGGGCCACTAGGCTTATGTATTTTCTCAAAGAAAAAAAAAGGAAGAAAAGGAAAAAGTAGACTTGTATATATAATATTAATTGTAATTAAGTTATGTTAACCTAAAAAATAATTGAAGAAAACCTAGTTAAGAGAGAGGTAGGAAAGAGGCTATACAATACATTCATGTCAACTAGACAACAAAAGATTTTGAATTATATAAATTGAGATAGCTTTTAAAATAGGATTGAGATCTGGAATGTGTAAAGGAAAGGAAAGTGTAAGTATTGGTATTTGATTTGAATGCAATAGAATTACACGACTACAAATCATCCTTTTTCGACAAAAAAAATGCGTCAGGCAGAATTCTAAAAAATATTAGGGAAGAAATTTATAACATTTTTTCTTTGTTGGAAAATTCGTGGGGATAGGACCGTACCCGTTGCTTACACACTCTTTATTATATTATATAATATGATCTCTTAATACGCTAATTAAATACATTGCTTAGAAGCAAAAATAACCCCAAACCCATCTTCCTTACGCCTCAGAAATGCTTCCATAAAACCCCTTTAATTTCCCCATAACCCACACAAATCCAACCTTTCCTTCTAAATTTTGGGCAAATTCTCCTTCAAAGGTAAACCATCTCCCACGCGTTTCATTTTGAATAATTCATCTTTACTACATGGTTTCGGAAAATTAACCCTCGAGAGAGTTTTGTTTTTGCTAACTTCGTTTCAATTGGTTCATGTGTATATATCATCGATTGTAAGGTCAAAGATTCGAATCTCCAACCTACTTTAATTACTGATTTTTTTTTTATTTAAGGAGAGTTTTATTTTAAGAATGGAAGACAAGTATAGAGAAACTTGTGTCGAATGTCAACCATATCATGAAGGCTATTATGATTTATAGGTTTTTTAAGTCCATGGGGTTTTATTTTTGGACCTTTTGAATCTTATAAAACCTTTTTCCCGATTTTGAATTGACTGTAACAAACACACGTTAGAGTTTATATGACTACATGTCTTGCAATTTTTAAAATTTTTATTTTAGTTGCTAAACTTTTAAATTGTTTATTACAGTTTTGAGTATGTGTATTAATGTATTTATGAGGGCACATATTGAAGACATGTGCATTAGAGGTAAGGTTTTTTTCTTTTTTTTTTTCTTTTTCTAAAGTAGGGCAAATATTAAAAGTGGCTATTGCATGGGCTACATTGAGATATTCGTCTCTACCAGACTTAGAAGGCAAGAGGAAAAGTTGACGAGCTGATTTGGCAAGGAGATCAGCAGCTTGATTAAATTGATTATTTTGGTTAAAGATATAAAGAAGTCAGAGGCAAGTATTGATTTTTCGTTTTTGTTGTTATTTTGAGGTGGTACAAGTATTGATAATTGATAAGTGAATATTAAAGGACAGAATAATATAGCAATGACCAAAATAATTATTCTTTTTTTAAAATGTGAGATTATGTTTAAAATAGATTATAATTTACAAATTAAGAAGGGTCTTAAATACTAATGAATAGTATGGGATTATTTTCCAAATCTAGAGAAATCCTTCCTGGATAAACAGATTAATCCAAAAATAGTTATTACCAATAAAAGCTTCCCTTAACAAATGACTCAAAAGGTTTTACTTTAAATTCCATCAACTTGTTCCTCTTATTCAACTTCATCTTCCCATCTTCAACTTCAAATCCCATACTCTGGTCCTGGTATGCTTCTTTCTATTTGGTCTTTTTCTTCCCTTTATTTTCTTTTGAATTCAACGATATAATGTCGAGACGGGATGGATAGCATAAATCGCTTATAGGGTTACCAGTTTTTAAGGTTATTTAGAATACCTTACTTTTTCAAAACACTCTCGTTGAGTAAATAGATTAGATTTGGACGCGGTTATTCTTCCGCAACGATATGTATTTCGACCTACTTCTACCCATATCCCCAACACTTTATGAAAATAAAGGGAGACATAGCAATTGAGGATTATGCAGCCCTTACCTTTCAATTGCAACAAAGATGAAGGAGAAGAAAGGAACAGCTACTTTTTTAGATGAATAGAGGTGGAATCCAATGATCACAAATGACCTAAAATCTCACAAATTCCCTATCAAAAAAATCCTTCCAATCTAAAAAAAAAAAAAAACATTGTAAAAAAATGTGTTTGATGTCGAATTGGCTGTAACCTTTGACCTCTTTATATTTTTTGGTCGTTTTTTTTTTCAAATGAATATCTGGACTGTAACCAAGACTGCAAAACGCCACGTCATCACGTTGTGAACCGCGCATGGGGCCAGCGAAGATGACAACGTCATTACGTGGCATATCCCTGAGCGGGGTCCACACGCTGTCGCCGTCCCTGTCAGCCGAACGGTGGGGCCGGCAAATCCTTGGTGTCTTTTCCTGACTGGACAACCGTTTCGATCACTGACTTATTTTGACATTTGGCAATCCGCATCAAAATTTTGGAAACAGCCCTAGAAATTAGAATCCGAAATTTTATTTTTATATATTTCCATATAATAAAGTATTTAACAATACTACTTGACCAAACATAAAATCTCTTACTAACTGTTTAATATGAACTTTTTTTTTAATAGATATTTTAAAACTCTTAAAAAAAAAATGGTCAGGTTCCAAGAATTGAACGACATGTCGAAGCCCGTGTTCTTCTCCCTCATCTTCGTAGCTTCCCTATTCCATCTCTCTCACGGAGATGTCGGCAGTGCAACGTTTTACAACCCTCCCTATTCACGTAAGTTGTGTTTTATAGCATCTGCCTTTTAACTTTTAACTTTATAGTTGGATATATATATCTCAATCGGTTTGAATTTGTTTTTCCAGCCACTGCATGTGGCGGGGGCGACCTCTCGCAGTTTCCGACGAACAATCTATTTGCGGCGGCTGGGGAGGGGATATGGGATAATGGTGCGGCCTGCGGAAGAAATTACCAAGTTAGGTGCCTGAGCGCGACGGTGCCAAAGGCGTGCATGCCGGATCAGATTATTCAGATCACAATAGTGGATCGTGCGGCGACGGCGGTGTCGAAGGCGGCCAGCGGCGGGAGGACGATGGTGCTCTCGACGACGGCGTATAAATCCATCGTTCAAGGATCCACCTCCTTCGTCAACATCGAATATCGGGAGTGAGTGGTTTGGTTTTGACTTCTGTTTTTTTTTTTTCTCCAGATTTGGAAGGGATTTTTGAAGGGGTGGAATAATTTTGTGAATTTGCAGGGTTTGAAAATTGGTGAAAGCAGATGAGAATATGCATGATGTACGAGTGTAGGTTTTGTGTGGGAGTGGTCCAAAATGTACAACTGTGAGGAAGATGAAGTCCACGTGTTCGGTTTCCGCCATTGACGCTTACACCTAATTTCTTCTATATACTTTTTTAATTCAATCCCCCGCCTCTATTTTTACTCTACTACATTTTTACTAACTGTATTTTGAATAATAAAACAAAATAAAGCAATATCTTTTTACATATTAAGAATTATGTAAATTATTATATTAATTAACATGTTCATGGACCAATCTGAGCATAAGATCAAAGGTTGTACATTCATATTTCTGGTACTAAAAAATATATAGCATGAAAGGCTAAAATTTTACAATAAATAATTGAGGATAATATGAAAAAAGGAACTTTGTATTTTAACATTGTGAACATAAGCTTATCCTCCCACTCCAGTTGTAGTATTAAAAAAAATAATAAAATTAAAACATTGATTTCAATGTAAATGAAAAATGTTAAGTTAATTTTTAAAATTTTAGAAGATAAAAGAGTGAAATAAAGGTTTAAAGTTTAAATGTAACTTTAGTCAATTTTACCCTTTCCCCCTATTTTGGTGCTTAAAATTTTCCATTTTAGTATTTCACTTTTAACCTGTTTTCTTGTTAAAAATTTAAAATACAATATAGATAATAAAATGGATTATATCACATTTTCAATAAAAATAAATACATCATATTTATAGCCATAATGAGAGTTTTTTTTTTTTTTTTTGAAACAGCCATAATGAGAGTTGGAAGTTTACATTGATATTTAAAAATTTAAAAAGTAGAAATTCAAACTAAAACATTGATAAAAATTTAACAACGAAACCTATAATTAAAATAAAAATAAAATAAGGTGGAATTTGTTTTTATAGAAATAACGTGCGTGCACTCACATGGGTGGCCGAAAGCAAATTTGATACCGGAAACGATCACGAGATCAGATCACAAAATTTCTATCATATTAAAAACTTTAAAACTCCATTACAAATAATTGAAAGATGTGACATTTTATTTATTTTTAATTCAAAATAATGAAATAGATAAAGTAGCTATTACTAATTTAGAATACTAATAGAACAGAAGTAAGAAGTTTAATCTCTCACGCTCTCACCCACATCTTTTGAACTAAACTAATTTATATTTTTATAAATGTTCAATTTAGTCGTATAATAATTTTTTTTCCTTTCCAAAAGTACTTCTAAATTTCAATTTTTTTTTAATTTTTAAAATTTCATCAACATGTTTAGTAGTGGATTAAAAAAATACATTAAATAGATACAACTATCAAAAAAAAAATATTTTTTTAGATAGGTGACAGAATTTGTTTTATTAAAAAAAACAAATTTATCTTCAAACTTTTGACGATTGTATCTATTTAATCCCTAAATTAAAAAAAATTTAGTTATGTTTCTAAAATTTTGAATCATAATTCTACATAATCCTCACATCAACACTATTGACTAAATGATGAAGTGACATGCCCGTTAAATAAATATAGACTAATTTAGCACAACAAAATCTAGTAAAAAGATTTAGCATTTTGCTTCAATAAGAAAATATATCGTACCAACTACTTTATTTGGTCTCCCAATTATTTTTCTAAGAGCATCGCTGCCAATCAAATAAGAGAGTGAGAATTTGAAGCATACTCGTGCATAAAGTTACTAATACCTTAACCAATTGAACTATACAGAATATTCTGTCACCCCAAATGTTCCTGTTGCAACCAATAGTCATAAATATTAGTGGGAACACAAATCCAAAACGAGCTGCAAATTGAGAATGCTTTATATTTGTAGTTAGTCGTTAGACATAAAAGGATGATGGCCTTTGGTGGGGTTTTTTTTTTTTTTTTTGGCTTTGCATTTAAACTTGGGAGCGTGATGAAAAGGGTCAAAGAAAGGATGAGAATGAGAGGTAAAATAAGGTCATTATTCAAATTTCAAACTCAAGATTAAATTCCATCTTGGTTTGCATCCAGCTCCTATCTCAATCCAATGACAAAAATGTCCATCTAAATAGGGTTTTGGATCCAGGAGAGTCAGCTGTAGAGCACATGTGAGCGAACAAACCTGCTTGATTCAAGCAAAAGAGAATATCCGTGATGAGTTAGCAATTGTGACCTGAACTCAATTGAGATAGTAATTGAGGTGGAAGTCACCAACCTAAACATAACTCAACTAGTTAAAACGTATCAAATTCTTCCCCTCCCCTCTATGCTCAGTGCAACTCTGCACTCAAATGTCATATGACAGTGAGTAAGGCGTGATTGACAGTTGATTTAATAACGAATGGCCATGCTGGTTCACTTTAGCAATGAGTAAGGCGTGATTGATGAAGTGATTCTCACTCCTCTTCCTTCTGTCACCATGCTGGTTAACACAAATCCACTACGACCAATGTCAAAATGTCTGTCTGTAAGATGTCTATTTGGGAAGAAAATTCCACCCCTTTACTAACCCAAAGTCAAACTTCATACCAAAAGGCAAGAATTTCTAAAGAGAGAATAAGGTCAAAGGATGAGCTGAGGGATCCCGAATCAAGGAGCATATGTAGAAAAAGGTCGTTTTATGATTCCAGGGTCGAGGGCTAATGATCTTAATGAGGCATTTGAAAAAGCTTTCTTTGAATGGGTAGGAGGATTTTAGAGCTAGTTAAGCTAATAGCGTAGCTTATGTTAAACTCAAGGGGGAGGGCAAATTCCTTTGCCTCCATCTACCAGAGGTTTCGATATTTCTTCACTTGGTATTAATGTAAACCAAGAATTTTGCACTTCATAAACCAGTTAATCTCCAAGGAGTTAGGTTGGACCTCCCCGTTCACACTCCCTAGTAGTGAGTTTCACAATAGAACACCTCAGTCAATCCCTTAGAATGCATAATTAATAGATCACCTAACGAAGAAATTGGTACCAATTGACTACCTTATCAAGGCTCAATGAGTGAGCACCTTCAATCAAATCAATACTTGGCCCCAAAAGTAGTTGCAATTTATTTCATATTAATATATCATTTTCTCCTAAACTAAACCGATTATCCAACAGGTTCTGCTCTTGCGAACCAAACATTAAATTTAAGCTTGGCCAGTTATAAACTCTTAGGTGTTATTTCCAAAGTGACATATAATCGTTAACCTCAGACCTCACACTAAATTTCCACTGTACCTATGAGCTATTTCACTTCAACATCCAGGCTCCCTTTCTATCTTTCTTCTTAACCTGGCAATTTTTGGTGAAATAACTCCAATAAAAAGAGGGAGAAAAAAGACAATAACAAAATCTCCTAGTCCAATCTGTCACACCCCATCTTGTAATATTCATTTCATATCAATTGGTCTACAATTTGGTGCTGTGAGTAATTAATGTCTAAATTCACAAATGAGAGGACGTATTGGAAATAATCAAATAATTATATTTACTCTGACCTAACCACTTAAACTAATGATAACTTAATACCGTTCTCCTTCAGAAGTATTGAAGCAATACCTAATCAAACAATGCCAACATTTCATATTAAGGGCGAAAAGTAACCATCATTGATAAAAACAATAAATTTAACTTGTTCTAAAGATCTTCAAAAGGCACAGAGAAAGATTTACTCAATTACCAGACGGACAAAATTTGCATGTCAAAAAGCCCTCTAGCTCCCATGATATTAAATATCAAATATTAGTTGTGACCCGAATTGACTAACAGAAAGTAGAAAGAAGGTTCAAAACAATTTCGTAGGGCACAACTCAGGAATGAACTCAAGTTGAAAGGTTACTTCTTGGTCTGAGTTTGAGTGATTAACTTGGTAAGAACATAGCAATCTGGCGGGGTAATGTTTGCATAATAGTTCTGAATGGTTTCTGTAATCTCAAACCCAAATTTCTTATAGAAATTGATGGCATCATCATTATTCGTCTGAACATGCAAATAGATTTCAGTAATGTTTTGCTTTGAGCAGAGATCAAGAGCATGATTTAACAGTCTACTACCTGCATAAAACCCAAATCATAAAACAAGCAACTAAAATGTGTCACCAAAAAGTATCAACTTCTAATCTCAATCAAATGGTTTTTAAGAAATATAAAATAAAGGCCTTTTAACCAACTATGATACTTCAATTTTGCACGTCATGTGACTTTTCTTCAGTTTTTCTTATTTCCGTTACTAGCAAATACCATAACCTAGGGCACAATGCCCAAACATTACTAGAAAATATTATAAAATCCCTTCCAAGGTAGTAAAATGTTTGGAGAAGACCATAAGGAACTTCTTCTAGAGAGGGGTACCAACCAAGGTCAGGGCAGCCATCTTGTTAGATGGAAATGACTGTTCTTCATCTCTCTTTGTATGGCCTTGGTATTAGGGCTTTGAAAGAAAGGAAACAAGGCACTCGTAGTTAAATGGACGTGGAGATTTAATAATGCGGAAAATGCTTTTGATCTTTGGAGGAATTTCATTACAAGCAAATATGGGCTTCGTACTCCAAAATTCCAAATTTAAAAGAATGTTGATTGCCCTCCCCCACTCCCATGCAAACTCTTATTTTTGCTGCAGTAATTGGCAATTGTTGTAACGATGAGGGTCATAACTGGGATTTGGGTCTTAGAGGACATACTTCTGATAAAAGAAATTGGAAGTTGGATCCATCTTAGACACAAAACTGTCACTGTAAGAAAAGCTTTAAAAGAAAAATCCCAGCCGGCCCATTGCCCTAAACGATTGCTATTCATGTCTAGAAGAGAAAGAAACTCTTGATCATCTCTTTTCGGCTTTTGCAGTTTGCACTGCCATGTTTCTGCATGAGAATGGATGGTCTTTTTCTGCTTAAAATTTCTAGCATCTCCTCTGTTATGCGGAATAAGCTTGATTTTTGGCTTCCCAAAATTCTCCTCTTCAGTTGGCTGAAAGATGAAGCTAATGTGCTACGGAAGTGTGTATTTAGAAGGTTTCTTGTGGAGTCTTTTGAATCTTTCTGTGAACTTGTACGGTATGTGACCTCAAGTTGGAGTGCCCTTCCCATGAAGTTCTTTTGTAATCACAGTTTTTATTTTTTCAATGATTAATTTGGATTGGAGACACTTTTTGTAATAGCCTTCCCCGGTAGGGTTTTCTACTCTCTCTTAGTAACTTAATGCACCCCATTTCTTAACGGGAAAAAAAAAAGCACAAACATACAAACAAAAGGTCTTATGGGAGACATGAAGTAGGTACTTACCGATGCCTAATCCACGATACGGTGCTAGAACACCCAGGGTCATGATGTAGACACGTACGGATCCATTTTCCTTCTTCTCAAGGCGGCATGCAATGGAACCAACACATATATCACTGTAGTATGCTGCAAAACCAATAGGAATACGCAGTTTTAGCCTTTTGGAATACAACTATACAACCTATTAGCACAATTAAAATAGCAAGATTAAGGTTTTGTTTTAAATTCACAAAAACCATTGTAATACCTATAAGGCATTCAAAGTGGTAACTATTAATTAGTATACTGATTAATTTCCAGTATATGACTCAGAACTAACAGGATAATCTTATGGCTAGAATTATGCAAAATTCACATTCTAAAATGCATCGGAGTAGTCCTGCAGCAGGTTAAATCTACTAAATCGTCAAATTAATGAAATGCACAAGAGAAGAATTTAGAAAAGGAAACTAGATTGTTCTTTTTTTCCTAGCCTTTTTCTTAAAGCAGAAACTCGCAAATTTTCAGTAGACTAGTGCAATACGTGCAAATTGAAAACACACAAACCAAAGAGAGATACCCTAGTCTAAGGATTTCTGGGACTCAGTTAGACTCTTTGCATCCCTTCGGTATTCTCTTTCCAAACCCGTCTGTAATTATGATCTTGTTCATATTACAGCCAATTGAAAATCTTTTTTGTAACCCTATGGAGTATGGTGACCTTGTGGGATATCCCATCTCCCCTTTCTGTAGTATGATCTTTCTGTTTCTCCATTAATATATTCTTTTGTTTCCTATTAAAAAAATGATGGGACTTAAATACGCAAGGTTAAAATCAGAGATGAAGAAAATGAATTACCTATCTTTTAGTAGAAAGGAAATGAAAGCCTAAAAATAAAATAGTAGAACTTTAATGCATAAGTGTGGTATGTGCACGGTGCACCTGAGAACTAGCATAGTCATGAAACACCCAAACACAATTTCAATTTTCCTAATTAAAGGGAAAACAAGTTGATGAATTGGCAAGGAAGATTTTAACTTATTTCAAGCTAGGAGTGAAGTGAAAAAATCATATTTCATTAATTCTGAAGCGCATGAAAACCATATCTACAAATTATAGAGAGATTTATTTCGGAAAGATAAAAACTATGAAGCTAGGAATAAAAACCTTACATGTCATTACAAAAAAGGATCTCACGTTACATAGTGTACAGATAGATTGGATACTACAAAAATTCAAGTTCATGCTTGAATTGCATCCCTAGTTTCTCACACAAACTTTATACGGTCAGTTTTATGCAAGAAAAACTTACTGTGAATGAATCTAAAAATAAGAAAAAGTGGAGGATACTTCAGAAAGCACCCATATCAAGTTGCTAGGGTGATCTTCAACTGTAGTAGTGAAAGCATAAAACGATGACTCCTACTATCTAGAAGAAAGATTCATTCCAACAAGTTCTTCACAATGAAAAAATACTGAAAAATGGATCTCCAGTGGACCTTGAGTGATCCATGATGAGAAATAGTACAAGTAACAAGTCAACTAAATATCTTGAACCATCAACTGTTGAACTTACGAACCAATCGTTTGATGGTTCCACATGACCAAAGAAGCAAGAGATATATTATAAATAAATAAATTGATCAAACCCACAGTTAAAAATAACTCAATGCCGAACTATTTCCACAAAATAAAAACAACAATAATTCATTGCCTCGCAAGAGCAATCAAAATCATAGTCATGGTCCGAGAAACCTACCAACAGTAGCCAGTGGATGACTCATTTTTCTAACAAACAAACTATAATATAGGTTTAGATTGATAATTCCCACCAGGAAGCTGGAGAACCCAAATGGAAATTTTTGGAAGAGATTAAGTCATAGTGGATAAAATTGAAGAATTATCAAGCACTAGTTTAAAATTTGTAAATAAACTAAAAAGGCCTTTAGTTTGAAAGGTAAGCCCACCTAATCTGTTTTCTCGATTCCCATTATTTTTTCTCCCATCCCTTTATTGTAATTAACACTAATCTGGCTCTTAAAGCCTGCAAGCTACCAATAATAATGATTATAAAATCGAGATATACTACATATAATGTCTCAAAGAGCATCCAAGCAGAAAAACATAATGCCAATTCCAAAGTTCAAACAGCTTAATACTTCAAAACCCACCAAAGAACTGAACTAACTCCACATAATTCATAGTAGAAACCCTACGAACATTCTTCCCACCTCCCAAATAACTAGTAGCTAAATCCGTAAAGAAAATCGGCTGATTCATAAGCAAAGGACGCAAGGCAGAATGATAAAGAACACAATAAGAATGCTCAAAAGGTAAAAATCGAGAACCAATGATGAGAGAATCAAAAGAATGAAGAAGAGAAGAAGATACAGGCCGTAGAGTCGATAGAAGAAGTAATCAGACCTAGCTTAGTGAACTCGCCAGAGGCAAGGACATCGACGTAGTACTTTTCGTTGTAGCGAACAGGGAAGAGAGCTGTGTTGAGCTTCTTGAGCTGCATCAAGTTCTTGTCCCTTACACCGTCGAGCGAAATTGGGACTTCGCGCCCCGCCCCCATTATTTTTCAACGAAGAAAAAAAAAGTTCAGAGGGAGAGAGCTGCAGAAATTTCTTTGGCGGAGACGAAGTGGAACCGCCCTGCTCATATCAAATGGAAAATTATGGGCAGAAATCGTCCGTTCTCCGTTACGGCCCAACTGGGCCTTCATCCAACCATTTATTTGGGCCCTGTAGCCCAACTCGGCTTACGGCCCAAAACATTTCAATGTGAGTAAGAGAGAGTATTTATGATAATGAAATTATTATGTAGAAAAATGTAGGCTGATTTTTTTTTAAAGAATATATAATTGTGAGGGGTTATAATGTCTCGATCATTGAGTTGTAGTTTTAGAAATTAGTGCCGGTTGATTTAAAATTTAGGCTACAACAAAAATATAAAATAAATATGTATTTTCATATATAATAACAATTTTAAAATTTTGGAAAAATAGCACGATTCAAATTAAAACCAAACTGAAAGGTAAGCAAAACATTCCAAGAAATATCAAAATTATGCTACATTAAGAAAAAGCATAAAAAAGTGACATTTTTACAAATATAAGTGAATGTGTTGGTAAGTACAATATTTTTATCAAACAATAAATTCCAGTCAGATCTTTCAAGAGTAAAATACATTTTTATCCCTCAAGTTTAAATTTAGTATTTATTTGATTCCTCAAGTTTCGAAAGATACACTTTTAGTCCATAACATTTGGAAAATAATTTTAAATAGGGTTTACAAATGAAACCGAAAAATCTACCCGACTTGATCGGTTGGTTTGAAAGATGAATCGATCGATATGGATTGGTTGGCTAGTCCAGTATCAAAGTAAACCGACTGCCTCATTTATTTTAACAAGAAAAAAAAACAACACTTATTAACTATTTGCAAAAAGTTGTGATACACTTAATTCTGCAAACAACCAATATGGGATAGATAGTCATTTTTTTCATGTAATGAAAGGCAAAGAGAGAACATTTCACGAGACTCTGTTTCGAAAACATGTTATAGTTTAAAATTTGTAACAATTTAATTTCTACCAACCAAATTCTAATCAAAATTAAGCGTCAAATTTTATCCTAGAAGGATTTAATTTTTTTCAATTTTTGTAATTTCATTTTAATTTGTTATGGTTAATAATTTATTATTATTAAATATTACACCAATAAAATTTAATAATGTTGATCGATGTTATAATAAAAAGTATATTAATTCTTTTAGCTGGTGTAATATTTTCTATTTTTTATTATTTATTAATATTAAATAAACTTGCACAATAAAAATATTTACTATCAATAAAATAGATTTTTTTAATTAATGATATTCTAGCCATGGTTATATATTTGATTCATATCTAGTTTCTTAGAAACAGGATTAATTATTTCTTATTTCTATTAATAAAGTTAGAATTAATATTGACTCTTAAATATTTTATAAAAAAATATCAAAATAATATAAATTATTGTGTTTTATAAAATAATATTAAATTTTAATATTAACTAAATTATAAAAAAAACCATTAAGTAATGCTTTTTTAGAACAAATATATAATCTTTTAACAATGGCAAAGTACAAATCTTACGTAAAACAAATTTAGTTACGGAAATATTCCCATTCAATATTATAAAATTTTCTATAAAATAAATATGATTATTAAACAAATATTTAATATCTTTATTTTCTCACATCTAAGATTCCTAAAAACAAACTGTTAAATCTATGTTATTCTATTACAAAATATTTTAAATTTTCTATTTAATTTATTAATTATGTAATTTTAGTTTGTTATTGTTAGTTAATATCAATAAAATTGTTAAAACAAACTTACTATTATTAAATATTTTAAGACTAAAATTTAATAATGGTTTGTATTGACCGCTGTTATAACAAAAACTATATTATTTCTTTTAGCTGGTGTAATATTTATTTTTAATTATTTATCATTTATTATTAATTAATATTAAACGAATTTATATAATAAAAATATTTATTACCAATAAAATAAAATTTTTAATTAATATATTTGTAATTAACTAGATGAGTCCCAAGATAAATTCCATTTCAAACCGGGATGAGTCCCAAGATGGATTCCAGAAGGATGGTTGGACTTTCTGGAATCCATCTTGGGACTCATCCCGGTTCGAAATGGACCGGGACGAGGCCCGAGATAGAATCCAGAAAGTCCATATCTTGTACTTCGACTTTCTGGATTCCATCCCAGGCTTCAACTCGGTCCATTTCTAAGCAATATTGTTTTGTTTTGTTACAGGAGACGTGGATATGACACTTAAGATCAACCAAGACGACTGGTTCCCGGCCGCGCTGTCAAATCTCACTCACGTAGGGAAAACCTCTTCTCGTCATAAGGCTAGGTTAACTCCCTCTCAGTTAGACATGTTTAGTCAAACATGTTTTGGTCCGATTTTAGGGATGAACGTTGTATTTAACGGTCCGTTGCTCCATCACCTGTTGCTTAGAGAGGTGGAGGAACCTAGAGACGACCTCATTAGCTTTAACCTATTCGGGAATAGGGTCTCTTTTGGGAAGCGGGAGTTCGACCTAATAACCGGTCTTAGACACACCATGAATAGGGTAGA